CCTAGTAGTAAGGCCAGGAGCCCCTAGTAGCATCCTTGCTCCTAGTAGCATCCTTGCTCATTGCTCCTATTCTTTTTGGGAACCAATAATTTTTTTGGTGGTCGTCCATTTTTCACCTTCGGCCTTTCCGGCCCGGCAGACTCGCTTTGCTTTCTCGGCTTGGCGTGCTTGTCCCAAGGTGTGCATTGGAAGCGTACAACTCCTCTCAGCAACGCGACTGCGAGCTGCTACACAGTGAGCCAACCCAGTGCAAATCCAGCAGAGCAGTTGTTAAAGTAGCAAAGGCTTTGGCAAGCCTATAGATGCCACAGCAAGATCAAAGTCTTTGTTTGCAGCGCCTTTGTAATGTTTTTGTTGCTTTCAACTTTCAGCATCCTACTTAACCAGGGTATGCTTTGCTTGAAGATGCTTTCTTCTTGCCACTGAGCTAGCCCATGTTGTCTCTACTACTATACTACCAAGCTGCTAAGCTGTTACTAAGGCAACGCTCCGCTCCGCTTCCTGTTTTTGAGCAGCTTGTTAGCAACGTGCTCAGGATTCCGATCAGTGCCAAGCAACACGTACTTCATGTATTTGGTCAGCACGTACTTCCAGTAGACTTCACTTCAGGAAAATCGGTGGAATTCTACATTCAAGATACTTGGCATTTGATGCATTCCTCCCCAATCACAACAGGCGCTCACATGGTTTAGCTGCCTCTCGTTTGGTGCTGGCAAAGGACTCTACCAGGCCTTGGGCACTTGAAGTTGATGCGAGCAATTGGATAAACGATGTATTAAGGGTTTTGTAAAAAGAGCAGTTGAGTTCCAATGCAGACCCCAGGAATCAACATGCGGTCAATGACCCTTCCTCAGTCTTGACATGAGCCCAACACTTAACTATTGCGCTTTGGCAGGGGCTGGCGCCAGTGGAAAACCACCCGTTCTCGTGGGATGCTCAAATCGGGTTCGGCTGGGACATATTCAATTGGTTTGTATTCACAGCGCTTCGCGCTCGAAGCCGCCCACACGGATGTCTCGGTCTGTCAGTCTGTTTGTCTCGGTCGGGCAGGACACACGGACGAACACACCCACGATGTCAATAATGCAGTTTCCACCGGGCTGCATAGCTGGCATCCCGAATGTTTACCTCGGAAGCCACACGCACAATTACACACACGATATCATTTTAAATTAATCTTCAAAAAGCCACCAAAAACACATCCCAAGCTAAAGCTTATTAAGCGGACTGATCCAGCAGCTATTTTGTGGTGTAGTCGAGCCGACACAACGCCTCAGTGCCTTCCAAACGGGCGGATTTAAAACCAACCTGACGGAGATTAGATTGCTTGTTGCATCCTTGTCATCCTTGTCGTGTTGTTGAGGTCCGTTCCTGTGGTTGGGGAGGTCATTGCTACGCCTGAGGCACTGGCTCTGGTGAAAAATAAGAAGGGCTTATGTGTGAGCCTGTTGGCTTCAGGCCGGTAGGCACACTGCACCAGCGGGCTTCAGATGCGATCGTTGATTTAACGAAGAGTGATTGGCTTTTGACGCTCGCTTGGGCGTTTTTAGCCAGTGCTAGCTAGCCGCTTGGGGGAGCCAAAAGCGGAGACCTCCCAAAGTTCAGCCGTGCGGGTTCACGGTGCAACGGTGCCCTGACAGGTGGAGACGCCCAGTGGAGCGACAAATGGGTTGCTTGGGAGCAGACACCGGACATGCGGGAGGGACATCGAACAGCAACATGCTCCTGATGCCTCTAAGTCCAAATTGGACTGTTTCCAAGCAGTTCTGACAACTACTGCAGTCTGCAGCTCGCTGGAGAGGCTGAAATCACTCATGTTTCAAAGACCTTGAGAGTCCTTTCTTAACGTTTTTCCTCTCCCCCCGCAGCTTTGAGCTCTGGGTCCTGCGGTCCAGCTGCAGCCATGAAGCGCCAGCTCAGCACGGGTCTGAGGCCGAACGTGTCGCCGTTGGGTTGTTTCGGCCGGTTTTTCAAGATGGGTGTGGCGTGAAACTTCATGCCACTCATTCTCATTCCACAAGAAGATGTCACACATAGTCTGGTTTACTTGAATCGAACCCAGGCGTTGCCCTTATTTGTGACCTGCCTTGGGAGTTGCCAGGTGGCTCTTCCTGGCGTTCTTGGCGCAAAGATGGACGCAGTGGGCGTTTTTGGCACCAGGAGCGATGTGTTTGATCTTCGATCGAATCGATGGGTCTAAAGGAACGTTATGGTTTGTGGTCATTTACATGGATCTGGGCGGGCTTCCTGAAATCGTATGGTGCAGCTTTTCCCGGGCATGGCTCGGGAACGATGTTACATCCTGATTGACATTTTGTCACATGTGGTCCTGCGAGTGAGCGACACCGATGTGACCTGGTAGGCCAGTTCAGTGGGCGAAGAGCCCTGCAACTCGGCGGTCAGCTTGCGAAAGCTTTAAGTCCCCGTGCCCGAGCTGGCCCTTGTCATCTCTCCAAAAGCATGGTCTTTCTCTAAAAATGCCGGCGCCCTGCAAAAGCATATCATTATCACAAACAAACAAAAACAAACTCGCAGGTCTCACGTTTTGAGAGAGCCTCTTCAAATTTTCATCCTATTTCATTCCTTCTTTTGAGGAATGCTTTGAGAGAACCAGTCCTCTTGGTCTCTTGCGTTTCCTTTCGACCTCCGGTCGACCTCCGTCTTGGCTTCACGTGCGTCGTGCGTCGCGACGTTTTGGACGCAAGGCTCGGGAGCGTGGGAGCGAGTTGGTCTCTCGCCGCCTTGGAGGCCGAGCGTGGGAAAAGCCTGCCTGCTGTTGTTTGTTGGGGGTTGGAATCAGTTGGAAGGGAAAAGCTTGGTGCCACAGTACTCCAAGCTTTGAAGATGTTTTGAATGTTAGTTTTATAGATTATGATTATAGAGCTTCCACAGATGGGTTCATGGATTTGTGACATCCAGGTTGTGGAAGTTTCAGTAAAGGGTTGACTGCAAAGGACGGCCTCTAGCAGTGAAGCTCTTGATTAGGAACAAGAATTCCGACGTCAAAGGCATGCTTCTCATGAGCATGAAGGTGCTGGTATTCGTTTGGCAGGTCAAAGCATGTCATGCTCAAGAGGCTTTGACCTTCAGTATTTTGTCCTCCTCATCGCGAGGCGCACGCAGAGGAGGATGTAGAGCTAGAGTTGAAGGTACTGCGCACCGGCAAGACTCCGTACGCCAAGATGGACTACCAGGCCACTTCGGTCAAAAGTCAAAAGGCATGTGCAAAAGAGATCGTCCTGTGACGTTGTGGATGGCCACTGGCACAAATCTGAGGGTGATTCCTATCGACCCACGAGACGCTCCGCGCATCATCCGCGCACCACGAGGTGTTCCGGGAAGGCAAGTGCCAAGAAGCGCAGATCGGAGACCTGGTCAGGCAGCGTTTGGGGCGTAGGGAGGGTCAGTTCAATGAGAGAAGCAGTGCAGCACGGCTGTAACTCCTTAGACCACTTGCTAGCTGCTAGTCATCGGTTAGGTTCCTTCTTTTCTTTTCAGACAGAACCACTAGCTTCAGTTTTGCTCCCGCTGCAGGGTAAAGCACCGGGCGTGGTTTGATGACTTTGAGGAGGGCATGCCCTGGGAGCTGACCTTGGTCGGTAGACAGGCCTGCACATGTTCGTTCATTTTTCCGAGAGGTGTTGATGTGAATCGTGTGTGTATCTTGGCTATGAACGGGAAAAGACATGGATATTTTGGCATTTTCTGGGAAAGGAATGGGAAGACATACTTACCCCACTATAAGGGTGACATGTTGTTATTTGTTTTTTTCCATCTTCAAATAAGAATCTGAAAGCAGGGAGAGACATCAAAAGTGAATGTGAAGAAAACTGACACGTTGAGAGAGAGGGAGAGTGAGTGAGTGAGTGAGTGAGTGAGCGAGCGAGTGAGTGAGTGAGTGGCAGAATCTCTTCAGAATTATTATTACATAGAAGTGCTTGGAAATGGATGGTGGTTGATTCTTAGAGGTTTCATTGACCTCTAGCTGTGTCAGGAAGTGGGCCCTTACCAGCAACCCAAGAGGATAAAGGTCGGCAAGGCCTTGGACGTCGGACGGACGTGGCAAGTCGTGCCTTTTCCAAGTTCTTGGACCGAGGCTCTCCAGAGCACATGGGTTTGTCGTTTTGTGCTGGCTTTCTACAGCAAACGTTGATGGAATTTGAAGGCAAACTCTTTTTGGCCAGTATAGACCAGCTGTCAGCTGTGATATTTGACCAGATGACAAATCTCCCAGGCCCTTGCCAAGCTCACCTACAACAAAATCCAAGATTTCATAGGGACACATCGTTCCTTTCTTTGTGTGTCGGTTTCACATGGACAAACACCGGTCAGACTCCGCTGACGCCCTACGACCCCCCTGCGCTGACTGATGCGCTTGTGGGCATGCACCCGGGGGAGCTACGCCGAGTGGTGGTGCCACCAGAGTTGCTCGGTGAGTTGCGTGGGCGGGATGCGCTCGAGCCAGCTTTGGGAGTGAAAAAGTCCTTGTTGTGAAGACACAGCAGCTTCAGAAGATCGCAAGTGAACAAAAAGATTCGCTGGAGAAAACAGGTTGAACATTCCAACTGGGATATTGGATGACATTAGTCCAAACTTTTATCTTGTGATGCAGCCACTCGGGGAGGTTCTCACTTTGTGGATTGGAATTTACATCTACTGCTGCAAAGTAGCCCATCTTCCACCGGAATTTGCCTCTTCTGCCTCTTCGTCCATCCCAGATTCGGCTTCGGTTCAAAGGGCAGGACGCCGGCCGTGGAAGGGTGGTGGAGGGGGAAGAGGCATGCGGACTGCAAGGTATATATAGTCTACCGGTTTTGCAGGTCTGCAGGTTCCATTCCTTGTTTTGCATGCCTTGAGGCCCACATATTTAGGTGGCCAAAGGACCAGATGTGAGATATGCAAGTCGAGGGAAAGAACTGTCGAGGCCATCAAGGTTCAAAGTTCACAGGGTTCTTCCATTGGCAGGGGCTCTGCCTCAATGCCCTCAGCAAGAAGCACTGAGACTGGCTCCTGCCTTTGCTGTGTGACATCACCACTCAAGCAATGTGCGAGTGACAGCGAACCCACAGGAGCATTGCCGGGCCTCAAGAGGATCAAGCAGCTTGGCGTAAGTGGCAGTCTTGTGCTGATCTGGATTGAAGCCGATCTGGTAGGGCCTTTGCGGGTGCGCCCTAAAAAATTAGGTCTATTTTTGGTGAACCTCTAGATGTTCTCCACGCTCAGAGAGCCCCCCATGTTGATCCTCAGAGAGCTCCATGACTCCATGGCCTTGAGGATATTCCTCCCAACGCCACGACGCTTGGACGGAGCGCAAGGAGTCTTGAGGCCTTTGAAAACACAGTGTGAAGATGGCAAGGAAGTTCTCAGGGTTGATTAGATGTGCCATGAGTGCGATGGTGGGCCAGTGCAATCATTCGAACAAGAGTACAGCTATGAGATGGAACACAAGGAATTGGAATAACAGGTCCAAGAGATCAACAGATTCACATTTTCAGTTTGCCTGTCCATTCAGCTGGGTCATAGCCTGCAGCGCCTGAGCCGAGGCTTTACTATGAAATTGAGATGGTGTGGTCTGGTCCAGCACAGCTGGCTGGGTGCATTGAGCCCTTCGTGGATAACGGCAGATACAAGCCATGAGGTCTCGTTGGCGTTTCTTCCATTCCGGAGAGCAATCCATGTAACTGTTGCTGAAGTTGCTGTCTTCTTTCACCTCAAGCACAGGGCCCCCCCAGAAAACACCAAGCGAACACTTCAGCCTTGGTCTTGTGCTCTCTGCCATGGACCCCAACGTACGCCGGGAGCGGGCTGCAATGGTCGCTTCGTGTCGTAGCCGCTTGGCGCGATGGGCGGCTTGGTAGAGCTTTGTGACGGTTTTGCAGAAGTGACCAGCACAATGCTTTGCAGTAGAGGAAACAGTGTAGATTAGCTCGGAGGTGGGTGCATATGTCAGTACGGAGACCCCCAAGAAAAATGTGCAAACGGGTGTCTTGACCGGAAAATATCTCGAAGTCCTTCTGTAAGTGCGCGCCTGATACCGACTCCAAGTCATCTCCGCCCAGGCGCGAATTTTCGCCCCTTCGAAGCTGAGACCCGAGATGCGAAGGAGAAAGCTGCGACCGAGCGAGCCGTCTCGCCGAGGGGAGGGTTCGCCCGTTCGCCAAGGGGACGGTGAAAACAGGGGAAGGATTTGCGTCATGCGATGCGAAAACAACATGTGTTGATGTGTGTCGTGATGAGGTCAGGATGAGAACTGGATGATGAGACTACTGGAAAGAAGATTTGGCCTCGCTCGCATGCCTGCAATGGTTGAGCACATCCGGCAAGTTTGCATTCTTAAATGAAATGAAAACACGGAGTGAACAACTCGTGTTCGAAATGCCACCGTTCGAAGTATCGGAATGAACTGTGTAAAGGAGCTTGCTTTTCCAGCATGTGCGTGGCCACTCCAGTGGCGTCAAGGGGTCCCTGTATGGGCACAGGGATTCGATCCGGAAAGAGCGGCGCGGCGCCAAAAGCTCACAACCAGATGGCACAGCGTGAAATCCACACCGGTGGTGGTCTCAAAAGTTCCGTCACCGCATGAGGCTAGCCTGGGCACAAAAAGTGCAAACATCCACTGTCCTCAAGCTGCTGTGATCAGCTTGAACCAGGCCCTGGCATTTAGCTGTGGTGTGGAAGTTTCGGCCATTGCGGCTAAGCAAGATCGCGCGAGGAAGGAAGTCGCGCTCCAGCTCATCCTTGATGTCGTCGACCCACCTCTGGGTCTCGAGCCACTTGTCTCTCATCTTTTTGAACTCATTGTCAGCCCGCAACTCACATTGCATGTAGTTGCGCATGTCGATGAAGTCTTCAATCCGTTGTTCTTGTGCACGGCATTGGTTTTGTAGATCCCATAGTTCAGCTTCTTGATCTCGAATCACCTCTTGAAGTCGGAGGTTCTCTGTTCTGAGGATCCCGAAGACATTCTCAGGCTCCTTCTCGGTCTCCTGCTGCAAGGGAGGCACCATAGGAGCATGCCAATCACAATGGCATACAAGGTCACCGTCATCCCTGGCGACAGCATGCAGGCCACGGCGTTATGTTCATGGCCTTGACCCCAATCGTGAAGTGAGGACTGCAAAGGCCAAGTGCTTGGAGTTGCCAGCCCGGGTGATGGCATGGCGTCTTGCGCTTGCCTGCCGCTCTGCCACCGTCTTCTTTTTTGATGCCTGACAGGAGACATCGGCTTGGAGAGAAAGGCGGTGAGATCGTAGTCGATCTGCGAACAACTGTCGGGCGGCATACTTGGTGACTCCATCGGCTAGCAGCGCTTCCGATGAAACCCATTTCAAGCGGGACTTTGTCCCCAACATCTTTTGCTTGGCCACCGTGACCTCGATCTTTGTCCTCTTATCGCCCTGTAGGCTGGGAGTTTCAGCCTTGAGCGAATTGTAGAGCGCCTTGGCGTCGACGACAAATGCTGAGGGCATTGCAGGTGTGAAGCTGTCCACTGGGTCATAGCGGGTGCAGCCTTCCCAGAAAATCAACAGATACGCCAGTGCATCCATGGCTCTCGGCATTGAGTGATGATCGACTCACCCTTGGCAACTTGAAACTTCTCCAATCCAGGACGATGTAGTCCTGGGTTGAGCCATCTTCCAGATATTAGCCACCCTCAAATTCGCTGTTGCGACGAACGCCCCAAGCTGCATCGCTCATGGCCACCATGCAAAGCTTCTCCATGTCCCCTCCAAGATCCCTGAAGATCAGGGTTGAGTCGTTGTTGGACTTGGCAAATCGGAAAAAGCTGCTGTGTCTCCTGTGGCAGTGAGGAGATGTCTGTGTTGCAGGCCATTGAAGTGCACCCAGCAAGGCTCCCAACAGCTTTGCTCTTTGTTGTTGAGGTTCTGGTTGGCATCATAGTCGGTGCAAGTCACTGGTTTCACCGAGGTAGTTGGCCTGGTGCAGCTTGGTCTCTGGTTGCAACCACTTGTTGTTTCCCGCCAGCTGACTCTCGATCATGACGAGGGTCTTCTCCAGCTGCGCTCTCTTCATCAGGCTTGCAGGTCAGTCATGGCCTCCTGGTCAACTTCCATGTAGGCGGGTTCATGTTCTTTTTCACCCGCCTGGAAATAGGCGCGCGCTTCAGTGGTCATCTCGAAGAAGCGCTCGTGGGCGTTGAGGTGTCGCCCAGAAAGTCCTGAAGCTTGAGACCATTGTTGCGGTCGTCCTCGCATCTCAGGTCAAAAGGACGCGGGAAAGAATTCATCACGACGCGTCACCCCTTCTGCAAGGCGAAGCAGCATAGCTCCCTGACGGCCACGAGGAATGTCCCGCCAGGTTTCCTGGCGCAGCGTGCGCACCCTTGAGTGTCCAAAGTCAATCTCGGCATGAAGAGCTTCGAGAAGGGGTTGACCAGGATTGACCAGCAGCATCGCCTCCAAAGCGAAAGGACTTGTCACAGCGCTTGAAGACCCGGTCATCCATGGGATATAGCCAAGAAGCTCCAGCCACTTGAGGTGGCGCAGGATGTATTGGCTTCCAGCCAAGAATGAGGAGTGCCATCCACCAGAAGTGGAGGACCATGTTGATCATGGGATCGTCGTCGGCCGGTCGTTTCTTCGGAGAGCTGGAGTTGGCCCCCTGTGAGGAAGGACAGTTTGCAGCGAAATGACCAGGCTTGCCACAGCGAAGGTGTACCATAGCCGAGCGAGCGCGTGGTTTCCCGCTGGGTCTTGCCGGACCTTGAGCTTTTCTTTTGGAAAGGCTCTTGGAATCTCCTGAGTGTCGAACATGGCATGGAGTCCAGTTCTTCTTGAAAGTCATCGTAGCAGTAGGTGTCATCGGGCTCAAAGTTTTTTTTTGCATTCACCTGTTGTCTCCTGGACTTGAAGTCGGGCTCGATGGCGTCCTGGAAGTAGGTGTCATCATCCTCATAGGTCTCGGCTTTCTCATAGTCCTCTTCCCAGAAGGTCTGCCTCTTCCATCGGTCGGGGGCTTGTGGCTTCCTCAAATGAGCAGGAACGTGAACATGATTGGTCTGGATCATCTGTTCCTGTTCGGGTCAGTCCAGCCCGCTTCAACATCATCCAGCCCGTGACCTTGTGCTTGGAGACCTGTCTGAGGGTCTGGTGGAACTCGGTGGTGTATTCCAGGATCGACTGGTCCTTCTTTCGCCGCGTCTTGAAGAAGAAGAAGTTGTCAAAGCGGGTCCGCATCTCAACCTTTGAGAGTCATAGGCCCACTGTTTGTTTAGGCGCTTGAGAAGGATGTCCAGTCCGCCTTCTTGTTCAAGTTCATGGAGGTCCAGGTCTGCGCGACGGGCGTGCAACTTCACTCGCCTCCGCTACTCAGCATAGGTGGTGGTCGTGTTGTCGAAGCGGGGTACGAAGTTGTCCTTCACATCTTTACCAGCGCCGCTGCTGCCACCGTTTGCCATGCATCCATCGGGCCGTGAGGTTGCGCGCCGAGGAGACGACGACATGGCAGCGACGGTGCCGGAACCCACCTCTGTAGGTAGGCTCCTCTACCAATATGAAAACACGGAGTGAGCAACTCGTGTTCGAAATGCCACCGTTCGAAGTATCGGAATGAAATGTGTAAAGGAGCTTGCTTTTCCAGCATGTGCGTGGCCACTCCAGTGGCGTCAAGGGCCCCTGTATGGGCACAGGGATTCGATGAAGGAGCGGCGCGGTGCCAAAAGCTCACAACCACACTCCAAAAAAATGCTGACGGACTGTAATCCTACGGGCTCCTTCCCAATGCTGATGGCCGTATATTCACGATTTATGGTCACGATGACCTCTGCTTCGAGATTCTGGGTTGACACGGCTTGCGCTCACAAGACTGGCCGGGCCTGCCAACCAGCACATGAAGTCAACCATGACCAACCATCACCTTTACTCATCCATGGCTTTACCAAGGTTTATCTGGACTTGAGGACACCACCTAACCGCTAAGCCGAGCGACTCCGTGCTTATCCCGTGACTCAAAGTGACACCCTGGGTGTTTCTGGATCTCCGAGGCTCAGGGATCCGGATCGACAAGCCCAACAAATGGCGGGGTCGACGGTGATTGGGCCTTTTTTGGATGGGTGATGGGTGACGCAGTGGGAGAAACAGGGCCTCTTAGAAAAACAGGACAGTGTTTATTGGCTTCAGCCTTGATTGACATAACCGTGCGCACTTTTATGACTTTGCACTATTGGAAGTTTGCCTGCATTCTTTGGACTTGATGGTTTCGTTTGGTGCTCACTGTCCAAATACCTGTTCACACATACCTCAAGAGCTCAAGGACTTTGAGAGACCACGCAATCTCTGGGTTCCACAGGGTGGGGCTGACGGGGCGCGAGTCAATCGTTTGCTCACCCTTTCATTGTCCTGCCGGCAGGCACTGGGTGTGGATCCAATTTGGGGTTCCGAAAAACATCCGTTAAAACAAGAGGCCCATCAGTCCTCAGTCCATCGGAAAAGGAATCAGAATCTTTCCCGCCCGAGACACATGGAGAAACAGCAGGGTTACTGTACTTCTTCGAAATTCATTGGCTTTGCACATTCGCTCCATCTTCGTGGCGTCCAGTGCGGCGTCCAGCCTCCACAGGCGGCCCTCCTCGCGGCCGACGCTGCACGCCGGGCCCAGCGCAGCCCGCCGCGCACGCCCTCGTCGCGGGGCTCACGCAGCACGAGCTCGCGAGGTGGGGGAGCTTGGGAAGATGAGGAAAAACGAGGAAACGAGACATGCAAGAGACTCATCATGGCCACGTTTCGGGACATTTTGGGGTTCTCTTTGGATGAGGTCTTGAGAAACTTCATGATGCTTTGTGGGGACGTAGCAGAACAAGCTATGTGGAGAAGAGAACATTGCCGAAAGAGACCATACACCAATTTGCATTCTTTTAAAACTTCTCTCTCTCTCTCTCTCTCTGCCTCTCTCTCTCTCTCTGTCTCTCTGTCTGTCTCTCTATATGTATCAAGGGGTTCGAAGGTTGGAAGAAGATGCGTACTCGCAGACATTCCCCCGTCCGTTCTAATGGAAGGTGGTTGTCGCTCCAAGAGTAGTCCAGTGAGGAAAGATTCACTCCTGCAAAGCCCTTCACGTCATAGCTACCCCTTGCCATAATGCACCTGGCAACTTCTTTGCAAGAACCAGTTCTTGACACAAGAGTGCTTCATAGTGCTTCCTTTGTGTCTCAAGCCATATGCACGCTGCAGTGGACCCACGCACCTCAGCCAACCGCCCATGTCAGGTCCTTGATCGGGTGTTTGACGGCTCGCAAGGCTCGCAAGGCTCAGGGGAAGGGTCGGTCGACAGCTCTGGAAGCCATGATGGAAGTTTGATTCGGTGACAAAGTTTTCGATGGTTTTTGTCGTGGCGACGTATATAACTGTCTCGACTCATAAGCTTTTTTTGTACCTTAATCAACCTGAGAACGGATGCTTTGAATAGCTGAACTTGCAAGAACTTGCGCGTTTCCACTGGCCAAACTGCTTTGTTCTTTCATATTCGTGCCTAAGTTCTACTTTTGGGATCTTAATTCTTCAGCTCCCTCCTCGAGCGAGGATACTTCGTGACATGCGACCGAGTTCAGTGGCAGTGTCACAAGGTTTTCCACTTTCCCATGAAGGGGAAGGGTGGACTTGCGACCGCCGCAGAAGAAAAAGCTGGAAGACAGACTGTTGACTGTTGAGTTTCACTTTGGGATGTTTCCGGGAGTGTAGTGTCAGCTGTGGCCGTTGGTCAAAGCGACTGGATGCAGAACTGCAGAACTGATCCCCACTAGGAACAAGAGAGAGAGAGAGAGAGAGAGAGAGTGAGTGAGTGAGAGCTTGAACATCAAACATTGCAAGGTGGTTTTGCACTATGTCACTATGTATTCTGGCGACTGCAGCTGTTTTGGCCTAAAATGGCGTAAACAGTTTCACCAGCCCCGCTGTGTGCAGGCCTGTATGATGGTGTTCCATGATCGCACACGTGGAGACCATTTGGTGTGCAGACAACGCCTGGCAGAATGCGTTCCCTTTTGTTTGGGGTGCACGGACATCGTGCAAAAAATATTGCGGGCTAATTTTGGTTTGGACAGCCCCGATGGAATCACACCAAAACCGCTTAACATTCCTTGAGCGTGGGTGAACTGGAGCTTGAACTTGAGCGGAGCAACACTTCGTGGCACATCGCACTAGCCAATCGGGACGGGGGTGGGCAGCATGTGTTTTGTTCCTCTATGCATTGCCATCACGCATTTTCCTGTTCGTGCAGCGGTAAATCCGCATTAGCTTTTCGACTGTCATGGAAACCGAATCGTGGCTTAGTGGGGCCTTTTATCAAGGTTAGGCCATTCGAGTTCGCAACGTGCAAGGGCATCCGGCTCGGCTTGGTTCCCCCTCAATCATTGGAGGCGTGAATGTGGCACGTGCAAACAACATTTGGTGAGCCGCTCTCCCTATCTTGAGGCCCTTGCGAGGGGTAAGTGCAAGCAGCTGATGTCAAACATGAATATCAGCAATCGATAGTAAAGGCGCGCAATTGCGCCGCAACCAAAGTTTACCTTGTAAATTCCTCATTCTTAAGGTAGGACGCTGGGTGCTCACAGACAAGTTCGCACAAATTCAAAAGAGACAATCAGTTTCCCATTGTTCGCTCCAAATGTCATTGGTGAAGGCGCTGGATTGGAAAGGTCGTGAACACGCGCAAAAATGTAAGTAAAATTGGGGCCACCATGACGAGCCAACGGAAGCTGCTGAGGCACAAGTTTGGCCGGGTTGCGCAGTCATCCAAACAGAATGTATTTTTGGTGACTGTGGCCAACCGCTCGACATTAACGCGTCTAACAAAAGAGAAAGTTGTGTGCAGTTGCTGCTGCAGTAGCCACAAAGATGCAGCTAAATGGCCTTGTTTCACCTCCATGTATGTTGGGGAACGTCGGCTCCTTGCTTGCAAAAGATTGCAATTAGGGAACAAAGTCAAACAAAGATCAGAAGCTTACCTAATCGGTCGAAAGATTGTTTTGGTCAAATATGCCCGCGGCTGGATGTTTCTTAAGCGGGTGTGTTGCTTTTGCTTTGCTTGTATGGCAATGGGACACCAGAAGGGGGATCAGAACCATCAGGTCAAATCTCGCGCTCAGATGTGCGAAAGGATGTAAACATCCGCCTGAAAAGACGAAGATTCAAGCAGTTTGTTCGTTTGAAGTTGTAAATTCAAAGCACAGACCTGCAAACTCAATCTTTCAAGTTGCCCAACAAATACGCACCACGCGAGGATTACAATGGCAATCAATGCATGTTTGATGGAGTGCGCTGAGGCAGACCGGCACGTTCACCAAGCATTCCGCAATCAAACGGTCAGAGTATTGCACTTGAGCGAGGTTCTCCTGGACGCGACAGTTTGACAGGCCATGCCTGTGCCATGCAACCAACAAACTTGTTGGTTTAGATGAAAGCCCTTCAAACTTAAGGATTTGCTTTGCAGCATCAGGGTCGTCCACCTCACACAAACGCGTCTTTAGTACCCACCTGAACCATGGCTCGCAAACCAAGTTGGGAGTCGTCTACGAGGTTTTAAATGTTTCAGATACTGGTGTCTCCACGTCCACACCATTCAGATTGCAGTGCGTGTTGAGAGGTTTGCCATCCCGTTCAACACAAACTTGTCGGTTGCAATTGTGCAGAGTTTTTTTGATGCTTTTTGGCCGTTGATAGTGAATGGCGTGAGAACTGCGGAGAAGACGCCTAAAATACTACCTTGCCCATGGTGACCAAATGTTTGGCTGCAGTGTGAGGAGGCCAGGTGCTCCACTGAGTATCAGTGTGATTCAATCATGCTTGAAGCTGCAGACATTCAGGCTCCACACCTTGACTTGCCGCAGTGAAGCAAGTCAAACAAGTAGAACTTTGTTCCTAACAGTGCCCAGGGGTGCTATCGGCTCCACTTGGCTTGTGACACCAGCATTGAACACATAGAACTACGATGAGGATTTCTGTCAAACAAGCCTCTGTGTGCTGCTGCTGTTCTGCCCAAGTTGGAACCATATTAGCAACCGCCAAAATGTGCAATGACTAATCTATGACCGGAGCGGTCATGAATCTCAGGAATTGGGCTAAAACCTGCAAAAGGGATAGGCCTCCCTCAAAAGCGATAACCATATTTCCGCAGTTTTTGGATATGTTCAGCTATGTTGACATTGTGGCTAAAACAAGCACAAGCAAAGGCCTCCCGCAAAAGCGATAACCTTGCTGAATCATGTCCCTTGCTTGACAGTGGTGCTTGAGAGGTTGGCATTTTCTACTAGAACCATCTCAGGGAGCGGTTTTCGGGCAACGGGGATCTACAATTCCCAATGTATCGCATGCCAGTGCTGTTGTGATTTTGGTCTTGACCATTCAGCTTTGGCGAGACGAGTGAGCCGAATGCATTGTCCAATTCGTGTGCGCAAGTGGTATAATGAAAGTACAGTTTTACCAGTGTCCTGTCCAGTCACAGCTCGTGGCCAACACTTGGTCAGCCTGCCTGCCAATGAGGACGCCGCTTGGTTTGTGTGTTTTTCGTGAGTTGGATTCGACGTAGGCGCAGGGGCTCTGTGCCCTCGCTTTGGCTGCCAGTTTTAATCCTTTTCTGTGATAGTAAATGCAGTTATGATTGCAGTCTTACACATGCAGTGGTGTGTGACCATTGGGATTAATGCGTTTACACAACAAACAGAGTCGGTGAGTCTGTGGCAGAAAGCGTCTGCGGTTTGTGTTTGAGAGGAGAACATGATGTGATTAGAGGCATGGCATGGTGCTATCGTTTCCACTTAGCTTGTGACATCAGCATTGAACACAAAGAACTATGATGAGGATTTCTGTCAAACCAGCGTCTGAGTGCTGCTGCTTTGCCCGAGTTGGGTGGATGCAATGCCAATGCTTAACTTGACAGACCAAACGGTGCTTGAGGGGTTGGCATTTCTACTGGAACCATCTCAGAGAGCGGTTTTCGGCCAAGGGGGATCTACAATTCCCGATGTATCGCATGCCAGTGCTGTTGTGATTTTGGTCTTGACCATTCAGCTTTGGCGAGACGAGCGAGCCGAATGCATTGTCCAATTCGTGTGTGCAAGTGGTATGAAAGTACAGTTTTACCAGTGTCCTGTCTAGTCACAGCTCGTGGCCAACACTTGGTCCGCCTGCCTGCCAACAAAAATGCCGCTTGGTTTGTGTCTTTTTCGCGAGTTGGATTCGACGTAGGCGCAGGGGCTCTGTGCCCTCGCTTTGGCTGCCAGTTTTTATCCTCTTCTGTGATAGTAAATGCAGTTATGATTGCAGTCTTACACATGCAGTGGTGTGTGCCATTGGGATTAATGCGTTTACACAACAAACAGAGTCGGTGAGTCTGTGGCAGAAAGCGTCTGCGGCTTGTGTTCGAGAGGAGAACATGATGTACTGCGAGGCATGGTGCTATCGGCTCCACTTTGCTTGTGAAATCAGCATTGAACACACAGAACTATGATGAGGATTTCTGTCAAACAAGCCTTTGATTGCTGCTGCTTTGCCCGAGTTGGGTGGATGCAAATGCCCATGCTACATGATGCTTAACTTGACAGACCAAACGGTGCTTGAGGGGTTGGCATTTCTACTGGAACCACCTCAGAGAGCGGTTTTTGACCCAGGGAGATCTACAATTGTGATGCAAGG